GCAAAGGGGCCCCCACTTCTCGGGGAAGCTTCCTACCACACTGGCATGTCAGCCTTGCACTTACCTCTGGTAACAGCAATACCGTCCTCTGCAGGCACAGCCTGAAAGCAGCTCAGGATCTGTCAAGTGCTTCCTTTTTTATTATTATTTTAATCTGGAAGTGATGGAAACTTACGTTCAGTCTCACCTGCAACCAGATTCCAAGTTGGGAAAAGGCAAAAGCATGTGTTTTCTGTATACAAAACCAAAACACGCCTTTATGTTAACGCTAACCTGGCAGAAAACTGACTCATGGCTTAAATGTTAAAAGCTGTTGTACGTTTGTTGCACCAGATGATACTGTAAGTCATTTTGCCCAATAGATACATTCTCCTCCATAAAGCAGAGTTGTAGCGACTCTGTGGGAGTTGTGTGCTATTGGCCCCCACACGTCCAGCCAGAATCATAGCAAAGTCCTAGGGTTGTTGGGTGCTAAATCAGGTCTTCGGAGACGCGATTCGGAGGGGCACAACCATGACCCACTGCTCCTCTCCTCCTCACACAGATGTCTGTCCTCCTGCTGCCCCTCTGGCAGCTTCCACCTCACTCATCCCTACTCTTCCAAGCTGGAGCCAGTGGAGTCGGTGCCTGGCCATTGGCTCAGCCCTCACCCCCTTTTGTAATATATATTAATATGATTTCCTAAAACAAGATTCAGTTGCTTTCTCTGAATTTTTATTGAAAACCTTACAGCCTCACTGTTTCCCTCTAATTCCTATCCACACTTAATGGAAGAAAAAAAAATAGTTTCTAGTTAACTAATGAATGTAGCTTTCTCTTTTTAATGTTCAGGAAATTGTGGCTGTTTTATAGATTTCTTCTGTAGTCCCCATTGTTCTGTATGTAATCTTTCAGTAGATTTTTCCTTTTTTCTCCTTTATGTCATGTAAGATTTGGTGAAGTCAGAATATCATGTTAAGACAAAACGCTAAAGTGACCTTAAAAGTTGTGTTCTCTCTCTGTATGGGTAATAGGAGGTATTGGATTTCTCGGTGACTCTCAAATGCTTTATGGCTATGGAAATATACTAGGTTCACATCTCCTTGAAACTAATTAACCTGTGGTATGGGGGAAAGATAAGAGACAGCTCCACAGTGTTGTCAGAGGTCTGTATATAAGGTGGGAACACATTAACTGCTAACTTGACTTCTAACTTTTCTGTCTTGTTGGTTTGGAGATTACTTGGCTTATGTCAGAATTCTCTGTGGCTTAAGATGACATTTTCAAACCCTTTACTGCCTTTCTTTCCCTTAATGTGCCAAGCTTGAAATAGGATTTGATTTCCTGAGCTTCTTGTTTGCTTTCTATGTGCCACCAAGAAAATCTAATTCATCTTTCATCTCATTCATGTTCTTTTGAAACAAGATACTTTGGGGGTCAAGTCTTTTCAGGTGATTTTTATATATATACATATAAATATAAAGGATTTTGTGTCCTTTCCTTGTAAGTAACAATTTACAGTCATAATGTATAGAAGAAATAAAAGTCTGATGTATTGTACTTTAAAATGCTTCCCTGATGTACAGAATCTTGTAAAATAAGTAATTGCATTGTATATCAGTCTTCCTACCAACATTAATTATTAAAGTATTTTAGAATTAAAAAAAAAAAACTATACTATTCTGGTATGAAGTGTTTATTTTATATTCTACCTTATTCCAAAAGATTTAAGCCTCCTTAAAAATGATACCTAAAATACTGCTAGACAGCCTCAGTGAGAAGTAGATGAGAGGAAAAAGATAATAGTAAGAACATTAAGTGTAGCCCTAGCCGGTTTGGTGCAGTGGATAGAGTGTCAGCCTGCAGATTGAAGGGTCCCAAGTTCGATTCCGGCCAAGAGCACATGCCTGGGTTGTGGGCTCGATCCCCAGTAGGGGACGTGCAGGAGGCAGCCGATCAGTGATTCTCTCTCATTAATGTGTCTATCTCTCTATCCTCCCTTCCTCTCTGGAATCAGTAAAGGTATATTAAAGAAAAAAGAACATTAAGTGTAGCCAGAGATACGCAGTCATGTTTATGAATGCACACATACAGAAAAAGAATAGGCTGCAGAGAGGAAAGCCAACTGTGAACCCCATAGTATGTACCAGGTACTGCTCTCGGTCCTTTATCCGATTTATCCCACCCCTAGTCTGGAAAGTAAGTAGAAGTAGACTCATTTTACCAGCAAAGAACCTAGGAGGTGAAGTTGCTTCCCCAAGGTCAAAGCACATCGTGTGACCACTCTGCATATATTCGAGGACAAGCAATTGCATCCCAATCATCCCTATAAGGATTACTCTGTATGGACCATATATTAGACCACAGGCTGGCATCACAATAAGACAGGTCATATTTCGTATACTCCTCTCTGGCTAGCAGCCCAGTTTCATTCATGGTGGCCTCACCAGTGACTCACTTTCTACTTGTCACTTCAGAGACTGGCCTTGGTTAGTCCACCACCCTTTACCCAGGATTTAAAGAAACCATGAGTCAGAACTCATGTCATTGGGTTCCACCTGCTCCCAGATTTTCCTTCTAGTCCTCCAAAGAGGCCTCAGTTGCCATTACCCTCTTGTTGAGGTTAAGCATTGTTGCCTGTGCTCATTGCCCAGTGTTGGCTGAAACAATAAATGAGTTTAGAGTTCTTATGGATTTAGATTTCTATATCCCAGGAGAGGGAGGACTGTAGTAGAGTGAGAGGTTTGGAAAACCACTATCAAAAAGGGGAAGTCCAGCCCTGGCTGGTTTGTCTCAGTGGATAGAGCATCAGCCTGTGGACTGAAGGGTCCCGGGTTCGATTCCGGTCAAGGGTACATGCCCAGGTTGTGGGCTCAATCCCCAGTAGGGGGTGTGCAGGAGGCAGCCAATCAGTGATTGTCTCTCATTGATGTTCCTATCTCTTCTTCTCTCTTCCTCTTTGGAGTCAATTAAAATATATATTTTTTAAAAGCTGGGGGGTGGGGGGGCAGTCAGTGGATACTAAGTGGGAGGGGATGAGATAAAGTGTACTTATAAAAGATGAGATGAGAATGTACAACTGCAAAAAGCCAAGCCCTGATACCAAAACACAGGCAACCACTGTTTCAATTCCAGCTCCAGGAGGCCTGAGGGCAAAACAGGAACCACCGGCAACCTGGACCACTCACTCCATCTCTCTTTTGTGGATACCATTCATTTCTTCCCCCTAGAATTTTTGCCTCCTTCATAAAACATCTGACAGGAACAGATGCCCTCAATTTCCCTCTATCTGTTACTGAGGACACACACACACTTTATTCATTCATTAATTGGTTTAATGTTTATCTTCTTCCTACCCTAAAAATCTTCCTCTGATCATATTTTCTCTTCAACCTATTGCCCTACCTCCTGCTTTTCCTACACTCCCGTCACATAACCTATTTTAATGTTAAACAACTTAAATTTCTGTACAGTCCAACAGTTGAGCTAAATGAGTAACAAGTAGAGGAGGAAGACCTGATGGAGAGGTAAACTGAACAGGCTTCTTGACATTAGTTGTGACCTCTGATCTATATGCATGTTTTCCATTTCTAAAGCCATGTTCATTCAACTCATTGTATGTCTCCTCTCGCTGAAGTCAATAAAAATATATTTTTTAAAAAAGATAGGTACTCAAAAGTCAAGAATAAAATTAATGATTATTGCTTCATCAAAGACATTCTTAGGTTAATATCACTTTTCTAAAATACTGTATATTGTCCTAGCTGGTTTGGCTTAGTCGATAGAGTGTCGGCCTGTGGACTGAAAGGTCCCGGGTTCAATTCCGGTCAAGGGCACATGCCTGGGTTGTGGGCTCAATCCCCAGTAGGGGGTATGCAGGAGGCAGCCAGTCAATGATTCTCTCTTATCATTTATGTTTCCATCTCTCTCTCCCTCTCCCTTCCTCTCTGAAATCAATAAAAATATATTTTAAAAATAAAATACTGTATATCTTTGATAATGAAAAACACTACAACCAGTACAGTTTGATGACAAGGCCTTGAAACATACTGAGGCACCAGCCAAGTTTACCCACTATTTCATTTTACATCAGTGCAGAGTCAACACGGTGAAAAAGGCAAAGAAAGCATTATTATGAAATAGTTTTGACCTCAAGGACCCCCAAAAGAGTCTCAGAGACCCCAGGGTCTAGCTACTACAGTTTGAGAACCACTGCTCTGGTCCTGTTTTGCATCTTAAAGTTTGGGTAATAATTCCAATGTCTTAGAATTGCTGTGACAGTAAAGAATGTATGTAAACCACCCAGCACAAACATCTTCTAGAAGGAACACCATAAATATTTCTACTCGTTAGAGTCCAGCTGTGATCGCTCTATGTCCATTTAACATTTATTCACCTAACACCATATCCGAAATTCTATCCCATTTGTAACATTTTACTGCAATATGTATCTTCGGAATTCTTTACTTGCCTAAGTCTTTAGATTAGGGATGTATGTGTTAAAATGTACTTAACATAAAAGTTACCATTTTAACCATTTGTAAGTGTACAGTTCAACAGTATATTCCCGTACTTGTGCATAAGAGGCTTTGAAGTTTAACCAGTTCGCGTACGAGCACTCGTCGTCTTTACCGACGCATTTGTCAAATGTCTATTTCAGTGTGCAGGGCAGATTCAACCACTTTTTAGACCCCTCGCGTTTTTCTAGATGTCTTTTTCTATTTTGCATAGTTATGACACCAAAGCTACTTCTGACGAGTTTAACAGCACATTCCCCAGACGGCGTGAACCGAGGGTAGAACGGTAACTTTGCTATTAGAAACGTACCCGCCTACGTACGTAACTTCTGTAATTTACGTTCCTCAGCAAAGTCGCGCGTGAAGGCTCTCGTATCGCGAGAATCCTCTGGGGGTGGGGCTTAATCTAGTGAATTGCCGATACGCTAACTGCGCATGGCGGTGCGCAGCCGCAGTAGACATATCCGCTCGCTTCAAAAGGTATAAATACGGACGCCTCGCAATCGCTCAGCCTTTTAGGGGGAGACCTTTGCTCGGCGTTCGCGGTGTTTGGTAAGTGTGTGTATCCCCCTGGTTTGTCAGCTTCAGCCCTAGTGCTCGATCCCGCCAGCCGGCCTTTCCGGTGGAAATGGTGCTACTTAGAAGGGCTGGTTTCGACGGCGTCCGTGCCAACTACCCTTATTCCGTGCGGAAGGGCTGGGCGGCTGGGGCTGGGGCGCTAGCGCCCCGCGGGTGACGGCGTAACCGGGGCGCGCGCGCGCCGACCTGCACCCTGCGCGCCGGGACGCCGGGAACGCAGCCACCCCGCCCAGTCGTTGCCCTTCCTCCCGGGAGCCGCGTTGCCCTGGGGGAGTTGCACGCAGGACATTTTATTCCTGGCCCCTCCCGCGTGTGAGTCCTGATTTCGAAACCGATGGCTCTTAGTGCTGCCAGTGTAACATTTGGGGTAATTTCACGGCTGGAGACCGGTTTAAAGATGGAAAGGTTAACTGCTGCCTGAAAGGCTCTGCAGTTGCCGTTTCTCTGGGAGCGCGCTGATGGCTGTTGTTTCTAGATGCGTGTTTGCGGCGCCCGGCTGAAAGTGAATTTAGGTTCCTGACAGGACTTCTGGCCAGTCTTGAACTCGAGTTTTGACGACTTTGGGGGGATTTCGGTATCGCTGTCACTGAGGGGGATTTCTGGCACCGTAGTCTGAATCTAAGTCTAGTGACCAACGTGGACACCCCGGGAGGTCACTCTCCCCGGGCTCTGTCCAGGTGGCGCAAGGGAGCGGAGGGCTCTGCCCCGTGATGTACAGTCCCTTTCCACAACGTTGGAGAGAAAGCCGGGCCTAGAGTCTGCGCCTGCATATTCCTACAGCTTCTCAGAGTCCTGTGGACGATGACTGAGGAGACAAACCATGCAGGAAACATCTCTCTAGAACAGCGATTTTCAACCGGTGTGCTGCACGAAATTGAAAACCTGCCGATGTAGTCAGGGACATTGACCTCTTTTCCCTTGGATTGTCAAATTTAAAATCAACATCCAACACAGAAATTGGTGTAAATCAATTAAAATTCTATCTTTGGCCTGGCCTGGCTCAGGGTTGAGCATTGACCCATGAACCAGGGGGTCAGGGCACATGGCCAATTGGGAGGGTGGGCGCGTGCAGGAGACAGCCTATCCATGATTCTATCATTGATATGTCTATCTTCCTAAAATGGGTAAAAACCTATATTTAAAAATGCTACCTGTTTTGGCAGATCGGTAAAATACATATTTTTTTGTGTGCTGCAGTTTTAGTAATTTGTGCTGCATGAGGTGAAAAAGGTTGACAATTGCTGCTCTGGAGCTTCCTATCTGGATATAGGTTGATCAGAAGTGAATTTTTTGCTTTAACCAGCTTTACTGTACTGCTGAATTAAGCTCTTTACCTTGTTTTGCAGCCTTCGGTCAAGATTCTAAATAACTTGATTTGGGTAAGTACATCTGAATTGCTTTTGGCGTATCAGTTTTGCCCCTTACAGTCCATCCACAGGAGATAGGGTTTGGTCTCATGCACAGACCGTTTTCATGATACTGGAGTTGAAGCTGGGCATATTTGTCTGCATACGCCTTCAACAAGGAATAACTGATGAAGTAAATCATGAAATAGTACATAGTAATGACTTGTTTGAAATTGATTAAAAACAGTTACTGAACCAGCAACTGCATGTAGTGTGATCTGTAATAATAAAAGCATAATACGCTAATCAGACCGGACCTCCTTGGACTAAGCTAGGGATGGGGTGCGTGTGGGCAAAGGAGGAAGGCCTACTCTTGCACAAATTTTGTGCATCAGGCCTCTCGTATGTAATAAAAATCTAAGAAGTTTTGAGGGGTGATGCTGTTTAGCTGTACTGTAACTACTACTGTTTGTAATTGATTATCAGACACTCCCAACGTGGATACCCCGGGAGGTCACTCTCCCCGGGCTCTGTCCAGGTGGCGTAGGGGAGCGGAGGGCTCTGCCCCGTGATGTACAGTCCCTTTCCACAACGTTGGAGAGAAAGCCGGGCCTAGAGTCTGCACCTGCATATTCCTACAGCTTCTCAGAGTCCTGTGGACAATTACTGAGGAGACAAACCATGCAGGAAACATCTTGTACGCTAAAATGTGAAATTTTTAAATTTAAGAGTCTATGATTCTAATCATTTTTTCTGTTTTCATTTAGGAAAGAAGAGGAGCCACCTCACCATTTTGGCAGTTAATGCTTTTTGGATTCCTCTGAAGTGATGGCTGCTTTTGGAGGATAAGTAGCTGCCCTTTGGAGTAAAAGGAAAATTAAATGGAAATTCTGTCATTCCCAGATCTGTATTAACTGTTAGACTAATAGGATGGCCCATTGAAATTTATGTCATTACAGAAGGCACTGAGCATTGGCAGCTTTTTTTTATTTTTTAATCCTCACCAGAGTATTTTTTTCTTTTCTTTTTTTAAAATATATTTTATTGATTTTTTACAGAGAGGAAGGGAGAGAGATAGAGAGTTAGAAACATCGATGAGAGAGAAACATCGATCAGCTGCCTCCTGCACATCTCCTACTGGGGATGTGCCCGCAACCCAGGTACATGCCCTTGACCGGAATCGAATCTGGGATCTTTCAGTCCACAGGCCGACGCTCTATCCACTGAGCCAAACCGGTTTTGGCCTTTTTTCTTGAATATATTTTATTGATTTTTTTTTTTTTTTTTTAACAGAGCGGAAGGGAGAGGGATAGAGTGAGAAACATTGATCAGCTGCCTCCTGCACACCCCCCACTGGGGATATTGCCCGCAACCGAGGCACATGCCCCTGACTGGAATCGAACCCAGGACCCTTCAGTCCACAGGCCGACGCTCTGTCCGCTGAGCCAAACAGGTCAGGGCCAGAGAAACATCTATTGGTGCACCCGAGGTACATGCCCTTGACCAGAATCAAACCTGGGACTCTTCAGCCTACGCTCTACTCGCAGCCAAACTGGCTAGGGCTGGGCAGCTTTATTGAGACAGTATTGGTCCTTGAAAAGGCCCAGAAAACCTGTCAGAATGTGTGATGCAAAAAAATGAAACTAAAATGATACTTTTTTTTTTTTTATCCTCAAAGTTAGTTTTCTAATTGCATAGCTGAATGAACAGAAGCCCATGCAAGTCTAAATGTTTTTTAAAATCCTTATGTATTTGTGAATTATAATAAAGGTGACTATATACTTACTAGTGTGGTTTCTTTTTTCATAGAGGAGTGTGTGATAGCCAAAGATAGTGTTCCATAATGGAGTGCTATAGCAATTAATGCCTGATTAGTTGCACCCTAAAGACCCTAAGCTTTTGTCTTGTGCTCTTTGTACTTAGCTTTATATAATTCCCTGGCTAGATCTCATTTTCATTAAGTAGTTGGATACCTGGTTAAAATTTAAAATCTGGGTAATGCTTCACCTACATTAGCAACTACAAGATTTGTTAGGAATGTTACAATCCCACTGCTGTTAGGCTAGTTAAACCTAGACAACTGGTGTCCAAGTAGCAAGCCCTTAAGCCTGGAAGACCACTGCCATGGATGATGTGAGGTTGGGTCACAATGGAAGCTTTGTCAAGCCCTTGTACAGACTGCCAGCCTTGTAGGGATGGGATGTAATAGGCCCTGAAGGATGGAGACCATCTAGAAGGTAGAGTCGATCCTGGTGCTTGGGGTTCAGATAGCCATTAAACCATTTAGGAGCCTTTGTGGTCAGATTTAAGGGAAGTGTGTATTTGGGGTTTGGCCAAATTGTGTGGAATGCCCAGATAGAGTTTCACAAATGGTATTCAGGGCCAGAGGATAATAGATTTGGAGATGGGAGCTATTTCCTGTAGCCGTAATTAGGGAGAACACGGCTTGTTGGCTTTTTGAACTGATAAAGCAACATGTAGATGGTCTGCTTAAACTAACTGCACTTGCAATACTTAGTTCTAAGTATTTGCATGTATTAATCCTCACAACTCTGAAATGGGTATTAATCTAACCCAGTTTCAGATGGGAAAACTTGAACAAAGACTCCATTGCCCAAATTCACAAGGGGAAGTGGAACCTGCACAAAAGCATCAACCCCCTGCAGGCTTCCTGGAAGCGAGCAGATGTAAGGCAGGATCCTGTTTATCCCCAGGACCAGCCAGTGCTGACCTCTCCTCTTGGTGTCATTACCACATACTGTCTTTGGAAAGTAGGGGCTCAGTATAGTGTTCGCTTTTCCCTACAACCAGAAAAAGATGATCTTAATGATTCGTACCAACTTCTCAGGATAGGGCTGGATAGCTAATGCTAGACAGGAAATACCTGTATTCATTTCTCTCGATGTGCAAGTGGAGCTGAAGCAAAGCTGTCAGCGGGTATTCTAGGCCCCACCCTTTCTGCTAAATTTCATCTTGCAATATACCTGTCTAGACTCTCCAAACAGGCTTTTCTGGCCTTTCTCTGCACGTAGGCAGTCATACTGATGGTTCCCAAATGTGGAGTCATGCTGCCTAGGTTTGGATCCTGATACCAACAGTTTCTGTGCATGTGACCTTGGGTGAGCCACTTAATCTGCTTCAATTTCCTCATGAAATTGGGAATAAAAGAATGGGGATATTCAATGAGTTAATATTTGTAAATGCTTCTTACAGTCTCATAAGTACAATGAGCTTCTTAAAGAACATTTTGTGACCACCTGGTATTGCAAGCACAGCACCAAAGAAATATCTAATTTGTTGTTGGTAGTCCTCGCCTGAGGGTATTTTCCCATTGATTGATTTTTTTTTAATTTTTTTTTTTAGAGAGAGAGTGGAACGGATGGGGAGAGAGAAAGAGAAAGGGCAATGATACATTGGTTGCCTCCTGCACTAGCCCCTATGGGGGCTAGTGATCGAGCTTGCAACCAAGGCTTGTGCCCTTGACTAGAATCCAACCCAGGACCCTCAATCCTCAGGCCAAAACATGTAAATATTTAAAGATTTCTAAACAGGGCAAGGTTTCCCAGCTATGATTTAGGGAGACTAACCTCGGGATATTGGGATGAAATGGAGGGGAAGAAATGAGAGGTAGGAGCAGAGTCCAGGAGGGTGGTCCTTTTGATCAGAGGGGCAGAAATAGAAACATGAAGAGAGGAGAGGGAGGAATTGGCAAAGCATTTAAGGTTTGAATTTATTTCTCAGAGAACCTTAACTTTGGCTGGAAAGATGAAGTTGGGGTGGTGTCTAGTTCCATGGTGATGAGTCACGGGTAGAGCTGAAGGGCTGAAACTTCCAGTGGAGGGCAGATGGACTGCCCTTTCAAAAAGTGATAGCTCAGCCCTGAACAAGAATTCTGTCCCCTCTACCACTTGTAGGATGACTCCAGAGAAAGTCCCTAACCACTTTGAACCTCGTTTTTCTCATTTTACAACTGTGATGAGGTTTTTGTGAGGAACAAATGTGCTAAATAACATGGGTGGGAATGTTTCTGCAGTGAACAAAGTAAAAGGTTTTACAAAATAGGTGATAATAATCATTTTTATAATTACATTAAGCATGTGAATGAGTAAGAACTTGGAGGAAGACAGCAGAGAGAGATCAGAGATCCCAGAGCTTAAACTTGGAGAAATTTCAGGGTACTACATCATCCAAAGGAGGAGGCCGTGATGGAGGCAGAGGTAAACTTGAAGAGGTAAGAGACTCAAGATGGGGAGTGCTTTGGGGTGGACTCCATAGAAAAAGAAATTCCGCCGAAACCAGTTTGGCTCAGTGGATAGAGCGTCGGCCTGCGGACTGAAAGGTCCTAGGTTCGATTCCGGTCAAGGGCATGTACCTGGGTTGCGGGCACATCCCCAGTAGGAGATGTGCAGGAGGCGGCTGATCGATGTCTCTCTCTCATCGATGTTTCTAACTCTCTATCTCTCTCCCTTCCTCTCTGTAAAAAATCAATAAAATATATTAAAAAAAAAAAGAAAAAAATTCAGTTGGTAAATACTCATCAAAAGTATCTTATCTATCTGGTTATGATAGAATGACTTTCAGAGTCAGAATCAACATGAAATGGAGAAAATATCCTTCTGCAGAGGTCACTGCCCTGACCTGGGAACCCCCCCAGACAACCAAATGGCCAGGGAAGTCACCTCAGGGAACACGTGAAATCTTCAAGAACTGTTTGTATCCACTGAGCGTGTTAACAAGAGAAGGTCATCCGCTTGGTACCTATTTTCCTTTTCCTGCCCCCAACCCCAATTCACATCCAGTTCAAATGGTCTCCCTCACTCGATTTGCTTCCCCCAAGTCCATTCTCCATTCTGTTGGAAAACAAAAACCTCCTCATGTGGTCAAATCCTTTCACAGTTCCCCACTGCCTCGGAATAGAGGCTGCATTCCTTAGCATAGACCGTGCACCCCTGGCCCAGCCCTCCTGCTCCAGCGCTCTCCTCTGTCACTCCTGCAGGCACCTCTGCTCCAGTTAGACCTTCATAACACGTTTCCCACACCACCCTAGGCTCTCGTCGCTCCCTGTCATTACAAGGGAGGCTTTCCGCGTTAACATGGAAAGCATTTCTTAAGTCCCAGGCTGAGCCAGATGCCCCTGGACGTACCCTTGCCGTACCTCTGTTGGTGGTCTGATTTCTCATGTTTCTCCAACAGAGAACCTCTTGAGAACAGGGACGAGCAGTATCTCTTTTCTCTGTACAGTTCCTATCACACAAACAAACCCTGTTTTCCCATAAACCAACCCTGTTTTCAAGTGGTCTTTCTGGTTGTTAGTCCACTCGTCCCGATTTGGGGTCTCCAAAATGCACCCCCACTGTACTTGCGGAGTACAGGTGGGGAACCTGGTCTAGAGCTCCCTGTGGGGAGCGTGTCCCTTGCACTACCCGGGGCGGCCGCCAGGGGCCGCCGGGCTCTTTGTTTTCCTCTGTGGCCCGGGTCAGGGCGGCCCGAGGCCCGCAGAGCGCATGCTCTGGGGCAGTTCGCGGCCCAGCCGGCGAGCGGAGGAGTCCTAGGAGCTGACCGGCACCGAGGTAGGTCGCGCGCGTGGTGGGCGAGGGGTCCTGGAGGACGGCGGCGCGCCGAGCGACCACGGCCAGAGCGCGGTGGGGGTCCCCGGCGGGCGGCGCAGTGGCTCGCGCGCGCCCGGTCGCGTGGCGACGTCTCCACGTGAAGCCGGGCGGCAGGAAGGCGCAAGTGCGGGCGCGCGTGTCCCCGGTCCCGCGGGGCGTCCGGGCGAGGGCCGGCCCCGCCTGGCTTGAGCGAGCCCGGTGGCCCCTCCGCCGCAGCGCTTCTCGCGTCCGGCCCGCGGCGCCCGCGCGGGCGGGAGATTCAAACGGCCGGAGCGCGGGGCCGCGGTGACCTCACCGG